GCTAGGCCCTGGATGCCACAGTTACGTCCTAAGTCTGGGTGGCTGAGCAGCAGGAATGCATCTTCTGGGTTCTGGGCCCGAAGCCCAGAGTGTCAGCAGGTTGGTTCTTTCTGGGGAATGCTAGGTGGAGCCCTATCTTAACCAAGCACAGCTGCAAGCATCTCCATATCATGAGGTTAGGACTTCAGCGTAAGCCTCTCTGGGGTGGGGGTGGGGGTCAACACCCCACACCTGTGAGAACTATCTCAATGGGGCGGTGGATGTGGACAGTTCTCTCAGCCGAGTTCTCAAGTTCTCGGGGTGAGAGCTAAGGAAAGTGAGCCTGCCAGAGGAGGGGCTGCAGGATTTACAGTGCTGCAGCTGAGAAGTGGGGGAGGGGAAGTGAAGGAAGGATGGAAGAAAGGGGAAAAGAACCCCAGGAAGACTGACTGGCTCCTGAGACGGCCAGAGCCGGAAGAGCAAAGCTAGTCCCTAAGGGACAGAAGTGTGCCTGAAGGTGACAGGAAGGCGGTACTCGGTGATGGATGGGGACCCGGCTGAGGGAGTTTATAAAGAGCAAGTGCCCATCCAATGGTCCCCACCTTCAGTGCTTTAATCTGAAGCACAGGCGAGTAGTCCAGGTACTGGCCTATGGCTTCCTGGCTCTGTGGGTGGCACGACTACAGGTTTTCAGGTGTCCAGGTAAGAAGGCAGCTTCCGCCACCCATAGAATCCAGGACTGTGGAGAGAGTGTGCCATGGGGGGTGGGAACCAGAGGAGCAGGATTCCCTAAGACAGACACTTTGTTTTCCACTGTTAATCAAAAGTGCCTTGGTGCTGACACTGTATAATTTGGGGTCCTGACACTGTATAATTTGGGGTCCTGACACTATAATTTGGGGTCTTCAGTTCCTTCTGGGAGGCTCCAGGAGGGCATCACCTGCAGTCACAGCTGCCAAGCCCCAGCTGTTTATGCCAAAATTACCATGGGAACCTAAATAACATTCTCCGTTCCCTCTTAAAGGATTATCAGTGCCTCTGCCCTGCACCTCTCTTATCCACAGGATATGAGAATGCTCAGAGACATACACAGAACCTAAATTACAAGAAGTACAATCATTAAGATAAATACATTTAATATTATCTTACAAAAATACTATGGAATTTTAAATATTAACTCTTACTATGGAAGTTGATACATTGCAAAATTAAAAGGTAATGTGCAAAATGGGATTATGTAAACTTGTGTTGTTTTTTTTTTTTTTAATGTACGTCATGAGGCTGAAGAGAAGGCTCAGCAGTTTAGGTTAAGAGAATGTATTGCTCAGCTGGGCACAGTGGCACATGCTTGTAAACCTAGCTCTCAGGGAGGCAGAGGCAGGTGGATGTCTATGAGTTTGAGGCCAGCCTGTCTATAAAGTGAGTCCAGGACAGTCAAGACTACACAGAAAAACCCTGTCTCAAAACAAACAAACAAACAAATAAACAAAAGAGTTTGTATTGCTCTTCCAAAAGACCTGAGTTCAGTTCCCAGAAATCCCAGCACCAACCTCCTGTTACTCCAGCTACAGGGGGTCTAGCACCTCTGGCTTTCAAGGACCCACATACAGCTTATACTCACACAGACACATATAAATACATACAATGAGAAATCACATGGGAGGGGGACACTAAATTTGTTATGAGCCTGAGGAAAAAAACTCAGGTTGACAATACAAGGAAAGAGTCATCTGATGTGTCACCTGCAGAGGAGGCTGCAGAAGGCCTGTGAGTGGGCAGTGCAGGAAGGCTGTCTCCAGTCCAGATACAGCCACCATGTGCTGGGGCTGGAGAAGTGAAGCTGGGGCGATCGCTCTGAGATGGACGCTCCCAGGGCTCAGCCTTCCCGGTCGTGGCGAGCGCGGGTCGCTGGCACCGGTGACTGCAACCTCCCATGGGGGTTAGCAGCTTTTCCTGCTGCTTTTCCTATGGCGATAAAAGACCAGGCAAAAGCAACTCATGGCAGAAAGGGTTTGCCTTGACTCACAGTCTGAGGGCATAGTCTAAGATGGCAGGGACGTCCTGAGGGCGGTAACTGAGGCAGCTGGCCACATGGCATCTGCCGCTGGGAAGCAGAAGAAATGAATGCTGCTACTCAGCAACTCTCTCTCTCTTCCTTATCTTTTTGAGATTATAATTACATCATTTTCCCTCTTCCTTGTCCTCCCTAAACCCTCTGATACATGATACATCCCTCCTTTGTGCTCTTTCAAATTCACAGCCCCATTTTGCATTAGTTGGTGGCGGTGGTTGTGGTTGTCGTGTGTGTGTGTGTGTGTGTGTGTGTGTGTGTGTGTGTGTGTGTGTGTTGTCTGTGTCTGTGTGTTTCTAAATACACAAGCACACTTGCTCCATCTGTATCTCTTTCCTGGAGGCAAAGTCTTACTCTGTAGACAAGGCTGGCCTGGGCCTCACAGAGACCTGCCTTTCTCTGCCTCCCAGGAGCTGTAACTTTCTCCCTTTTGATCCAGTCTGGGAGAACAGCCCATGGGTGGTGCCAACTTCGCACCTCACTTAAGATAGCCCAGAAACTCTGAAAGACAATCCAGAGTTTTGTCTCTTATAAGATTCTAGATTCTGTCAAATTGGCGGCCCAAATTGACCATCTCACCATCGGATGAAATGCCTTGAGTGGACCAAGCGAGACATGGCATTCCCAGCACACCCTGGCAGGCCCATCAGCCCAGTGCCTTAGTGACAGAGGGGACCCTTGGCACGGTTGGTTGCTTATTGCAAGTAGCTCCAAGCAGCTCCGTTCACCCTGCTGCAGGGCAACGGCACAGCAGGATGAGCGGAGCTGCCTGGACTGTTCAGGCCGGCCTGTTCACACCCACAGGTGCATGTGAGGCCGGCTTTCCTTCCTGAACTGTCAGTGAGCACGGCACATTGCAGCACACTGGAGCATGGAAGCAGAGCGGAGCATCCAGCAAGCTCTCCTTAAAGCAGACTCTAACAGGCTTGGCAAGATTAGGACCATAGAAACTGTACTTACTGTTTATGCCATTACATATATGTAGCAACATATGATTGGTTGGGTTTTGTTTGTTTATTTGCTTTTTACTTTTAAGTTTTAGTTCTTTGAGGACTTTGTACAATGTGTTTTGATCATATCCACCTCCTCCCCAACTCTTACTAGGTCCATAACCCTTTTCCTAGCCACCTGACTTTGTTTTTCTTTGTTTCCTTCTACTCCTCAAGGCCACTTGTGCTGCCCACGCATTCATGGACATGTGGCCTTCCAGAAGACACTCTTTCCTTGCAGTTATCTACTGCATCTGGGCCTTACACTCTTTTGTCCCTGCTTTCACAGTGATTCCTGAACCTTGGGAGGAAACAGTATGATTTAAATGACCAATTTAGGGCTGAGAAATCTGCAGTCTCTTATTCTCTTTGCTTTGACCAGTTATGGGTCTCTAGGCTTATCATTGTCCTAGTTAAAGTTACTATTTCCTGTGATGAAACACTGCAAGCAAAAGCAAGTTGGGGAAAAAGGGTTTATTTGGTTTATGCTTCCTACCATAGTATATCACTGAAGGAAGTCAGGACAGGAACTCAAATAGAACCAGAACCTGGAGGCAGGAGCTGATGCAGAGGCCATGGAGGGGTGCTGCTTACTTGCTTGCTTGGCATTTTCATATACAACCCAGGCTAGGCACTTCTTAATCAATAGCTAATTAAGAAAATGCCCTACAGGTCTGCCCGCAGCCTGATCTTATGAAGGCCTTTTCTCAATGAGTGTTTCCACTTCTCTGATGACTCAAACTTGTCTCAAATTGACAGAAAACTAACCAGCACCATCATCATCTACTCCAATAGAAGCTTCTCTGATGATAGTTGAGACATGTTCTAATCTATGGGTACATCAATGACTTCTTAGGAGTTGGCTTAACACTGTTTCCATTTAGCAGAGTAATAGTAGTAAATTCTTCCTTAAGACCTATGACCTGTCTAGCTGTAGGTCTGTGGCCTAAAAAATGGTGCTAGGTATGAGTTTCCAACTTGTGAAGTGGGACTTAAATCCAATCAGAATATGGTAGATTACTCCATGACACTTGTCCAATATTGTAGCCATGGTCATGTCTTGCTAAGCTCTGATTATTATAATTCAAAGTATTCACAGCTAGAAAGGTTGATGGTTACTTTCTTCCTCTAATAATGGATTCATTATTTCTAAGTAAACTGAAAAATACATATTTTAGAATTTTCTGAGTTTTAATGGTGTAGCTTACATAAGCAGAAACCTTTAGAGGTCTTTGAAAATTGTTAGGCGTGAAAAGACAAACTCTTGAGACAAGAGTTTGAGAAGCAGTTAAGCATGGACACCTCCTCCAGGCCTTGGGCGCTCTACTTTTGGTAATGAAAGATACTAATTCAGCAGCTGGTCTATTTTTCTTACCCATGGAATAAGTGCAGCACTTATGTCAAACTCTGTTTCTCTTATTAATAATGACCACATCTCCCTTTGGTAATTCCTCACACTAAATTCCACAGCCTGATTTCTCCGTGGAGAAATTATGTGGCTACAGAAAGAAATACTTGTTGAACCCCATCAAACATGAGGCCCCAAACTTCCTAAAACCTAAAGCATATGTGAATGTTTCAGGCACTTGGTGGATGTGCCATTTGAACAACTCCACCCTTCTGTTCAGTTTCAAAGTCCTGTGTTTACCCTGTGTTTTAAACAGGAAGAAAGGATTTGTGCTTCTGTCTTTGCTGAAACTAAACCACAAAGCATCTTGATATTAAAAGGGAAAAAAGACACAGGAAGAAAAATAGAATCTGTCTGAGAGAGAGATGTCCACCTCAGACTAACATGTCCCCCAGGCAGGAAACCTCAGGCCTCTTTCCTCTGCTGCTCAGAGACCCTGCCGTGGGTACAGGGAGCCTCGCCCTGAAGAGCCACCACTTACTGATATAAACTTAGACGGGCTGGCAAGGAGAGCACTACCAAAAGACTCATCTCACTTTCTTTCTTCCTGCAGGAACCTAACAGGTACATTTCCAGAATACCCCAATGAGGAAGAAGGGGGCTCAGCTGTCATTTTTACCAACAAGACCCCAGAACAGGTAAAGAAATGTGTGAGAAGTAAAAAGTGGTTAAAGCATAGTCACATTTCCTTAGACTTGAATGTGAATGAATTAACAGTGTGTTGCATCTCCATTATTTTCTTAGGATTACTTACATGACATGTTTCAGGGTGAATATCATTTCACATTTTCTTTAGTTTCATAATCAATTCATTCTTTCTCCTGTCTAGTCTTTGAAAAAGGCTGTGATGCCATTTTTCTTGTCACTTCTAAGCAGTCTGAGTTCTGGGTCCTGGTACTTCTCCACCCTTCCTTCCTCCCCATCATCAGGCCCCCGATTATAGCAGTTTACTCCCCCATCTTCCACATCTCAAGCATGTGCTCTCAGGTCCCCCTCAGGCTGCTTTCTCCTGTCTCCTCACATCTCAAGCTGTTTTCTCTAGCTCCAAGGTGACTTCTGTCAGATACATTAGTTAGTATTTCCTTGGCAATTCTAGAAAATGCAGTAAGATCTTAAAACAGAGTTCTAAATGCTTTAAGTGATATTTTATTATTTCACATTATGGGTAAACTTCCTAGAAGAAGCTGTAATCTCAACATGAGATCACATTGACAGACACACAATTGTCCAGAATTACATGGGAAAAACTTTACTGGGATGGCAAGGAAAGCCTTTGTTACAAAAGAAATTGATGGATCATTTCTCTGAAGACTCAATAAAATACAAGTATACTTTGTCCATTAGCCCCCATCCTTGATGAGTTTTGACCAAAAACAAATTTTTATACGGACAAACATATTTTTATGGAAGAATACATGGAAATCTCTGAGAAGGTTTTTAGTAAAAGAATTTGTAATGGTGGCAATAACACAGAATTACAGAAAGAATAGGCAGAAGAGAGCGTCGATAGCGGCACACTTGCTCGCTGAGAAAATGTTCTGTGCCGGCTGCTCTGCAAAGCACATGCAAATTAATCCCGTGAAGATCAAGCAACTTGGGCAAACTCACAGCTAATAAATTGTTGTTCTTAAATTCTAACCACAGAGGGTGACTTTAGGATAAAGTGTTCAGAAGCCAATTTTGACACAAATTAGAAGTCAGTCATCCTGATGGGTCCTTTCAAAGTAGGGAGAATGGACCAGCAGGTAAAGGGATAACCAGGCTTTGGGGTAGAATTCAGTATATCCTTAGCCACCCCTATCTTACAAGATAAATTCCTTTTGCATTCAATACCTACATGTAAAAACTATTAGACCACAAGTTGACAGAAGGAATTTCTAGAATATTTAATAATCACAAGGGGGGGATAACTTTGGAAACATATTACAGTAGACAAAAATCATAAAGAAAACTGACTGCCATAACTGACAACATAAAAATCAGGCAGTAAAAATAGCATCATGAGTGAAGTTGGAGTCATGAAAAACTAAGAAAAATGCTTGCGGCATCTCTGATGAGCAGTTTGTTCATATTTAGAGCCCTTAGAAAACAGTAAATTATCTGAACATCTCAGTAGAAAAGACACCAAAACTATAAACAGAACTTTTATTTTAAAGAAAAAAAAGTTTTAATTACTCGCAAAGACCTTTCAGTATAAAACAGTTCTGCCGTGTCTCTTTCTCCACACAGCTATTTATTCCTAACTAAAATTTAATTTAGTTAGAAAACCAGCTTGGTGCACAGGTAGGAGAGTGTCACTCGCAAACGCTATGGCCAGGTGAACTCATTAGCGTGGCGCTTTTTAAAGAGGCACAGACCCAGCTGACATCCAGAATGTGGCCATTCTTCGCCTGAGAGACACCGTCTGAAGAATTTATACCAAAGAAAACAACAAGGCAGGTTGCTGAAAGTTAGAAATGGCAGGCTCTTTCATTTGGGACCTAATTGTAAGGCCCTTAGACAGGGCATGCACACTCTCTGCCACTGCCGTAAAGCACCACCATGATGGCCAGAAGGCAGCCACGATGGTATGTGAGCGATGGGGCTGTGTGGATCTGACCAGACTGCCACACCTTGTGACCATTGCCACAGGTAACTGTAACACTTGGTCATGGCTGCCTTATTTGTGGCATGGATGAAGAACACCAAAGTGTGTGTGTGTGTGTGTGTGTGTGTGTGTGTGTGTGTGTGTGTGTG